ATTACAGCCAATGCTTAAGCAATACAACATCGAGCTAGGAAAGTCATCATACGGTTGTTCTGCTTAGGGAGTAGCTCTTACTAGTTTACAAAGCGTTGGGCAATTTATTTCTCTTTTATTCTAACTAATTTTCAGAAGCTGCAATATAGAACTGCAGTGTTAGTGCAAGAATATGCTCATCTTCACCAAGGCCTGGGATTTATATTTCAGAAATTCATCAAATTTACATCACTCCAAGTGTACCGTGTCCAAATCACTTAGAGTCGCTATTATGGACTTTTACATTTCTACCCAAGGAATGCCTGGGTTTCGAAGCTTGATCAACCAGAGTCTTTTACATTGAACTGCAGTTAAACAAAGCAGAGTACCAGTCAAAGCCAAAGAACACAAGTACTCAGCACATATATGTGTTGATACAGTACAGTATGTATGTGTGTATATATACGCATAAATATGTATGTTACATTATAAGGAGAGTGCCGTTCCGGACATCTCAACTGCAAGAATCCTTTTACCACTTCCAAGTCTTGAAACTTCAGCCCATTAAATTTCACACCAAGGCAATGAGAACTCCAATCTTTTCTAGATTGAGTTATTATTTCTATTTTAGCCAATTAACCAAGCAGAGCCAGCTGAAAGAACAGGAGCTTTAATTTTAATAACACCAATTCTACCACCTCAAGCAGATGGCACAAATTTCTATCACCAGATTATTTGCCCCTTCCCTGCCCTGCAGCTGTGTATCATGGGCATTTCTACGAGTCCTCAGACCATAACCAGAGCAGTACTAACTGATCTGTATCAATTTATTCAGTTGTCAAGAGAAAATGCCGCAATTTATGAAATTATTTTGAACAGCCAGTACAGTTCTGACACGAACTTAACAATACTGGCTGGAGTCATATTGTTTTTAATCGTGTAATGGTTCTGCCTTTTCATGCCCAGCAAGCCCGCTTCTACTCATAGTGGCTGTCATCGTACATACAACCTAAGAGCTGGATAGTTTGGGATACCACACTATTAACTGTAATCCTCAAACCCAAAGCTTACAAAGGTCTGCGGTACAAATTTCACATATATAGCTGAAAAAAAGTCCCTTTTAAATCACTTTGAGCAGGAAGTTTGTTATTTTTTAAAAAAAGACATAGGAGCAACAAAAAAAAAAAAAGCAAGAATAAATGTAATAGGCACTTAAGAGCAAAGTTAAATGCAAAACCCTTTTGGATATTTAAGATGAAGGGGAGCTACTCATCTCCCTTGCCTTTAGCCTATCTAGAATTTAGACATCTAGCCCAGACTAATCATTGGTGCTTCCTCCAGTCTTGAGGAGACAGAAGCTTCCTTCTGGAGGCTATGACATCCTCAAATACGGCAAACGAGTCTCTCCAGAGATGCCAGACCCTCTGTAAGCACAGGGAGAGTCTAAGCGATTAGCTGGGTTACCTGCCAGTTACACAGATGAGACAAGTCGCTCGCTCTCATTCTTCACATAAGCCACTAACATAAATCCTGAAGGCTTCGCTTGGTTCCTGCATGGACAAACTCACCAGCTTCAACAGGACAACGATTTGCTTTTAGTTTTTGGGAGGCAGAGGGGAAGGTTCGTCGGCAGTCCAGTCCCACACCAAGGCTGCTCTGACCACTTGTACTAGCTGCTTAGCCGCGACGGTTTATGGCCATTCTGCTCACGTATCACAACATGTTGGTTATGCAGCATCGTGCAAGAAGGGCAGAGGGTGCAATGATCCTTATGGGTCCCTTCCAACTCGAGATAGTCTATGATTCCAAGTTGAAGTAACTCAGCATTCTCCTAGACACTAAACTAGCTGTGCTGCATCTTCATGGGCATGTACGTTACTGAGCACAATCCTCCAAATTTCTGCTGGGACTACAGAGGTTCAACAATGACTAGAACTACCCAGTCAGGTAAGTGTAGGCCTTACACACACATTAAAGTTATACAGCTTTACAAGCAGGCTAACATAGATAAAACAGTAGAGCCCACCAAGCTGGACAATATTTGTAATCTGTGTGATTGCTTACTCTGGTAGAGCTTCTTACAGCAAAGAAAGAAGAACAAGATATAATGTCAAATTCACCCTCATATCAGCATAACATTATTTTATTTTTAAACATCTAAATATAACAAGGCCCTAACGGAGAGTGATTTTTGCACAAAATTAATCAAGCAAGTGCTACTGAAACACTATAAAGAGTCTTGCATATAATTCTTTATGGGTAAGAATTCTTTTTTAAATAATCAAGAACAAGTTGGGTTTTGTTTGGTTGTTTTTTTTTTAAAGTAAGCAAACAGTTCTTAGCCTCTAACTCTGGGAGCAAAGCTACCTCTATCCGTTCTTCACACTGCTGTGTTTCAGTATTGCCATGTCCCCTGGATTACAGGGCTACCACATGTCAGTGGATACGGTACAGGCTACACTCCTGGAAACTCCAAGGCCTTTTTGAAGCCCTTCTCGTCAGGTCAGATTCACCTCTCTGAGCCACATGCCAACAACAGCCATGCCATATATTGGGCCAGTATTACAAAACAGGATGAAAAAGCGCAGCCTATGTACATCTTCTGAAGTAGTTTCCACAAAATAAACCAAACAGCTCCTGATACGCAGCGGCACGTTGCTCTCACCTATTCACAAACACAGCTGGAATTTATTCCCTCTTTTGGAAGGCAGCTGTAACAGTGCGGCCACAACCTGGATGCCTCCGTGCCCAGGGCCAGGGGCTCCCCAGCCACCCCTCACTCCACATCCACAGCAGAGCCAGGGAGGCCACACAGGCATCAAGGCAGGGTCAAGCTTAGCATGGTCTCACCTTCCTCTCAAAAGGATGGTCTTTCCCATCCTCCACAACGACATTTTTTTCCCCAAAGCTCCCCCTGGCCTGCCCTCTCTGTCAGGAGACCACTTACAAGCTCCTCACCTACGCAACCTGGTCCTCAACCAAGCTGCCTCAAGCTCCTTCACTTCAGGGGAGGAATCGCTGTGTCCCAAAGCCTGGGCATCCTTATTGGAGAAACACTACAATTCATGGAGCATCCAGGACAGCCAGTTGAGCAAGATCGTGCCTAAGTAGGCAATGTTACCCAATTAGCTGAGTTGGCTGAAGGTTTTCCCATTGTAACACAATTTTTCTATTCTAGTATTATTTTTGGTGTAAAAAGAATCGGTGGGGATGGGTGGGTTTTTTTTGCGCAAAACTCGATGCTTTTAATGAAAAAAATGTTGCTTTTCTCAATATTTTGCTGTTTATTTCTGTTGGGAAAACTTGAAACGCATCATTTTTGTCAGAAAAATATCAGTCCGTGTCTGTCCGAATTCCTCCAGTGTCAGCTGGGAGCTGTAATTCACGGGCTGCATGTCCCCCTCTTTCTCAGAAGGCTGGGGTCCTGGGCATCCCTCCAGCCTTCATGACGCATTCCCCCTTCGACTAACCCACAGTAAGAGCATCATGGGATCTGTAATCCAGCCAAAGAGCTGGGCCCCAAGGGAGACATGGCGCACAAGGCACTTGAATGGTAATTTCTGAGGTCTACAACAGTAGCTCAAACTGATGCTGCTTTAAGGGCCAAATGGATTTAATTAAATGTTTCCATTTCAAAAGGATAGAACATTTTATTCAGCATTTTCCAGCTGACAATTTCTCATTTTTTGAAAAATTTCCATTCCAGGAAAATTTTTGGTACTTCAGCTTTCCATTTCAATTCAGGATTAAATTAAATGTTCAAGTATCAGAATCTGATGCTATCTGGACATTCAGTTTGGGAAACAGCTTTATTAGTAAGCTGCCAGCAGTGAAATAACTCCATCCATGCAAAAAGGGTGTGATCCAGTTTGCCTTTGACATCAGTGGAAGCCACTTTTTCAGCTTAGTGGAGCCTGGATGGCATCCCAAAAGACCAAGGGAGAGTGGAGTTGACCATAGTTGCAGATATTTGAAACAGGAGTCAAAATTGAAACAGCAAGAATATAAGAAGCAGCAACTGAGGTGATCTGTTACCTGGACTCAATCAAAACTCAGTTTTACTTACTTCAGTGAATAACAGGAGGAAAAATCATTAAGATCATAACCAATTCCCAGTTACAGTAAAGATAGCAGTTAATCAATGCTTTGCAGAGTAGAATAAATCCATAGCATGAATTTGTCATGAGCTCTGTAACTTTCAGTGTTCAAAACCCTTCCTCAGAAAACCTTCATATACACCATTCAAGAAGACTACTCTAAAGCTGAAGATATAAGACAGTACTGAACTGCTTGCTTCAGGTTGTCTGTCCTCCCTCGAACCCTGCAAAATTGTTCTGTTGGATTGGTATTACAGAAGCTCTGTCAGGACGGACTGAGGTCTCTGGACTTTGAGCACATCTACAGGTGGAAAGCAGTTAAGTTCGGGCTTCCAGGGTTGATACTCTGGGTGAGGACTGGGCACCAAATCCATCCTCTGCATTGCCAAATCTGTTTCTAGATTTAGCCCCAAGCCTTCCACCTCAAAGAGTAAAAGAAAAGCCCCAGGGAGCCTATGTCCATCAGCAATAGGGTGTGTGTTGAAAGCAAGAGAGCATTCAGAACACTAAATAAATCAATTCACCCATCCATAAGGGGTCTAGAGAATTGTTTTTTGTTTATCTTTCATTTCCCTTTAGTACAAGGCAGATGTTTCTAAGTAATAAGCAGAAACCTCGACAATTTTTAAGACTGAAGAAGAAGGGAGGAAGGGAGGAAGAAACATGTACAAGCTTTGAGGATGTTCTCAGCTCCAGCTTCAAAAAAAAAAAAACAAACCACACAACAAAAACCAAAAACAAAAACAAAACCACACACCACCAAAAATGTATATCTGTAAAAGCAAGATTCTCCTTAAGCTGTTTGGTAATTCTTAGTTCATAGGAGCGTTTTATCCAAAGGTTCTTCATGTTTCCAGTCTAGGTTGTCACAATCTCAGTGAGGCACTAAATTTTAGGCTGTTAAAGTCTTTCTGTGCAGCATGGTCATTTTAAAATGATGTGGTAGCCATCATTGCTTTCAGCTGTAATAAAGAAATGCAAAGCATTTTTTTATTGCTTTTAGAAAACAGCACAGATACAGAACCCCAGATTTTCTTCTTAAGTAGTTTGCAATAGTTTGTACTCTTGTTCCACAACCGATTCATGAAAATCAATGTTCGACACCTAGGCCATAGCATTTATATTAAAAAAATACAACATAGTAACTGTCATCTTTCATCATTTACTAGAATGTTTTCTGCTCATTTATGTCAGTAGTATCAATGGATTTATGAAAGTTTTATAACAGCATAACGGAAAGCATAGACCAGTCTATCATAGTGTAAGCTGATGCAACACCTTGACTTACACTAAATTAGATTACTTATCTTTTCAGGATAACAGCACTGAGTTTGTGATGATGTTTAGTGTAACTGAAAGGAGAAATTTTCTTTAGAACTAAAGTAATAGTGGCAGCAATACATACCTTTTAATGTGCTGATAACAAAACAAGATTCATCTTGGAAGTTTTGCACCATCTGAAGGGCAGAAGGAAAAAAGCCAACACAAAATATTTTTAGCAATTTAATTCAAGTTTCTTTCAGTACCAGTATAGAGGAGAGTTATCAAACAACATTTGGTGTCTAGTCCTACACAGTCCTGAGTAACCCTGCCTGTAAGATTATTGAAGTATATGACTGATTAATTAAGGTCATTGCAGCTGCTAATGTGCTTAAGAGAAGCTTACACTGAAGTGCTTGCCTGGAACTGGTCTGGCTTGTTCAGCATTTTACCATCCCCTTTGCAGCTCTTGATCCTGCAAGTTCTTATACCACTCCAGTTAGTCTATTAAAGACCGTATTCTTAATTGCCTTCAATGAAGCTATACTAGTTTAGACTGGATGAAGACAAGTCCCTCTCCTAAAATCTAGCAATGGTAACACACACACATTCAGCTGAATCATGAAGCTTTGTTGAGCTTACATGAGCATCTGGAAAAATATCTAGAGGTAGCCAGCCCCAAGAAATGGACTCCTTGCTGAATAAAGGAATATTTTTACTATAAAACCATCTCAGCAGCATCCACCTGGTTATTTTGACCAGACATTAGTATAGATGCTGTACTTGCAGGAATCATTTACCTGTTTGTATTTCATTGAGGCACAGGAATCTCAGTGAAACTGCTATGAGAGGCAGCAAGGCAGATCATGGGAAGAAAGATCAGTATCTAAATATATTTGAGTTATTCATGAGAAACAACTAGATTTTCAGAACACGTACAGGTTCTAGTGAGGCCCCTAACTAAAGAGATGAGTTAAGAGATTCATCTGACTTCAGATCCAGTCTGAAATGCTCATTTACGCTTTATCCTTAGTCATTGCTCCCATCCTAGAGTAGCCATGTGGGACCGAGAAGGTGAATTACCTTCAGGAGCTGCCTCATGCAGTTGGAGCAGATGCTGGACACCTAACTTCAGAGGGAAGGTGACCAGAACCTCTCTGATCAGCTCAGAAAATCCAGCTTTAGCAAAAGCCTTCTCCTAGCTATTCACTATCATTCAAGTAGAGCACTTTCCAGCTCTAAGTTCGCACACCAAATATCCTTTTCAACTTAGACTAATCTCCCTATTCTCTTTTGGGTTTAACATACACCTCCTGCTCCTGCAAATCAAACTTCACTGGTGAGTCTGTGTGTCTGTGCCTAATGATGCATGAAGTACATTCATCGAGTGCCTCGCTCTTGCCACTATAGTACTAGAACAAGAAAAAAATAATAAAAAAAGCAATAGACATTGTTAATAATTGACTTAAATAAATACTTAAAGCCTTATACCCAATCTGGTTCAAGCAATTCCTCTACCAAGAGTTGCCTCCAAGCACTTTACATCCATAAAGCATCAAGGTTTCAGATTTAATCAGGCTGAAATAGCAAGGAGACTTTAGGAATAAGCATTACAGCCTTCAATTTAGGCTCCAGTTGAGACCTATGCTCTGCTTCATTTGTTTTAACAATGTTTCTTATAAATGAAGCTCCATAAGTGATTCTGGTGCATGAATGAGTTGGTAATTTAGTGGGGGGAAAAGAGGAAGAAGGGCAACTCGCTATTAACCTGCAAGTTAATGGAATGGACTAAATTAAGCCATGATATAAAGGGACACAAACAGTTAGAAGAGGTCCATGAAATTATAGTGTGCACATACACAACACTGACTCTGACCCAGTAGCTGTAATCACTGGCCAAGATATAAGACTAGTTGTCCTAAAAATTTTCAAACTTGCCTTCTTCAGGAAACTTGCCTGTTCAATTTTAAAGGTTCCCACTTTAGATCCTCACTTCAGAATTTGTTTAAGTAGCCAAGACGAAAAGGAAATTATCATTTTTGTGTGTGTTTTGTTTTAAAAAAAATTTCTTTTACAAAGCAACAATCTTAAATCCACACCAACATCAGTGGTATGCATGAATGATTTGCTTTAAGTATTTGCTTTCACTTCTTGGGATTAGTAACCTTGCAAAGCTTCCTTGAAGATTCACTCCACAACTTAAAAGGTCATTTTAACTTCAAGAAGTCAGACTACTCTTACAGCTCTGACAGAGTTTTCATTAACCCCTTACCTCATTGCTCACTAATACATGGATCCCTGTTGGTCCCTGACGATAGATTCGATTTATCTGCTGTGGAGAAATGCTGTACAAGTTGGCAATCTTCTCAATTAATTCCAGCGTGGTCAATTCTTCCAAGAAGATTGCATGATATACTGCAACAGGTTGAAAGCAATTATGGAATTACAGAGTAATTATAGAATAGCAACTACTGATAAGACCAAGATGCTCAATATCAACAACTAAATGGGTTTAAGACCAAGGTTCAAATCTTGACAGTAAACAAACAAGCTTAGTACCTTTAAAGCAACCGCCAGATATCCAGCTTGATGATTTGTAGAAAAATACCCAGTATTGGATGCAGCGGGCAAATAAAGCACACGTCCCTTTCGCCCAGAGGAAAACACATGGGCTAACGACAACATGTATCATTGGGCACCAAAAAAACCCTCTCATAAAGATGTTAATATTTTTGGATAACCTACTTTTACTGATTGGACATTTTAAATTAGATCAAATTAAATAGTAAAACACATATGATGTTACACAAAAACGATATTTTATTAGACGTTATCCCACAGGCACAAACTAATGATTATAATGTATCAAATAACTGCAGATTACAGTATTATTTTTTAAGTCCAATCCAAATGGTAGAATAACCAGGCAGAAAAGCCATGTTTGGTTAGTACTAAGCGCAAGAACTAAGAACAACCTCTATTCTCATTTGATCGTACATCATGTCATGAGGGATAGTTATGAGCAGTGAGTCCCCAAAAGCTTTGAACTTCCAAGAATTAGAACCTCACTTTAAGATATACCAACCTTCCATTTACCGAAATATTTTCAAACAAGCCATAATCTAAAGCAAATTGTGGATGGGAAGGTAGTTTTTAATGCTATGGTCCCTATTAAGAACTGAATAGAGATTTTGCTGTGGCATTCTGCAGATAGCTTGTTAAGTTGGGTCTGTTCCCCAGGAAAACGGTACCAGCTGGAATCTGTAGCCCTGAAACCAACCAAAGTGGCAGAACCAGGACAAACATGACTTCTTTAAACACTCAGGAACTAAGCTGTCCCACACAGGAGCTCATGCAGAAAGCAGCATTCTCATCAGGTGAGTGTTTAACAAAATCCACACATAAACACTTACCACAAAGACTGCCATCTCCATTTTCTCGTTTTTGGTGGAGATGGGACCTGTTATGCTCTGGTTCTTGACAGACATAAATTGTCATCTTGGGCCTTACATTTCTATGGATTATTAAAAAATAGTAGAGAGTTATTTAGTAGATCTAAAATTGTTCCAGTCAGCTACCAAACAATGACAGATGGAATCATTCGGGCTGTGCATAAATAATCAGCTAAGGGATAGTCTTGATGTTAGTGACTAGATGTCTTAGGAGGTCTAGTAAGAGCCCCGATAAGAGGTGGTGGTACAGTGCAGAGCACCATAACCTCTTCAGGATCAGGTAAGAATAAAACAGTTTACGGCACTTGCCAAGGAGCTCATCATACCTGCCTTTACTGATTTGAATCCTCCCCAGGTGTATAATTTATGATGTTATTGCAATAAAAGTTTAAGAGTCATTTGAGGCTCCAAGGGTTGGTTTCTTGTTTGTTACCTGTGATGGAGATGCAACACAGGGTATTGTAGGCTGTGTCTCATAGGAAGTGGATGGAAGCTATCAGCTGGTAGCAAATAAACCACTGGAGATCCACATTATGCTGCTTCATTTCGGCAACATTTCTGAGCTATGCTTAGATTTGAATACCATTGTGATCTCCAGCCTCTGAGATGACCTCTCTGAAGTGTTAAAAGGAAGTCTAAATGCTACAGCTCCAGGATTAACTTCTAGTTAACACTGAAATTACCAAGGAATGCTTCCATAATAAAAAAATAGGAAGGAAGAAGTACAAACCTTCCTTTGATTGCATTAAAGAGCCGAATTCCATCAGCAGGCCCACAGATTTGAACAAAATCTTCTTTGGACATCTTCAGTAAGTCAGCACCTACATATTTCAAATTGATTTTTTTTCAGAAGTTAAGCAAATCTTAGCTTCCAAATTGTGTGTATGGGCAGCAGGAAAGGGCAGGGGGAGAGAATCCACAAAGCTAAATCAGATAGGTTTGCCTAGAGAAGCTGCAAATCAGTCGTTGTGAAACAGAGCTAGAAGCTGCCAAAAGAGCAGTGCTACACTGGAAGATATTCTAGCCAACTCAAAGACAAGCTGTATATTTAACATTGGCCCTTATGTGGCGCAGTTTTCTCTAACTGCCACGTTCACCAGGTTATTTAATCACGTTGCAAGTCACAGAGAGGCTCCTCAAGATTTCAACATCTTTAACAATTCTCCCTTCCACCAACTTACTGCTGTGTACAACTACCTAATGGGAGGGTACAGTGAAGATGGAGCTGCAGATGGAGTCAGACTCTGCTCAAAGGTGCACAGGGACAGAACAAGATGCAGCAGATAGAAGATGGGAAACACTGATTAGGTATAAGGAGAAACTTTTTCACTGTGAGAGTAGTCAAGTATTTGAAGAAGTTGCTTAGAGAAATTGTGGAATTTACAACCTTGGGAGATACTCAAACACAACTGCACAAGGTCCTGGACTTGCTTCAAGCGGGGGGTTGCACCTAATGAACTCAAGAAGTCCCTTCTGTCTTAACTTATCCTCTTCCATCTTTACTTATTCTATATTTCTACAAACTGTTTTGGCAAACGCTAACTCATCTAAGAACAAAAGAACAACCACACTGGATCAGACCAGTGATCCCATCAACAGTGGCCAGCAGCAGATGCTATTGATATGAAGCATGAGCTGCACTTACAAAAGAAAATAAAAACAAAATAATTGGACTGTTTCAACTCACCCGAAAAACTTGAGAAGAGTCTACAGAATGGAGAGAACCTATTACGATGAAGCCACTGCTGGGCATCTTGAATAGAAGCAGAAGGAAGGAGATGCTACATTGCAAAAAGAATAAGAAGGTCTTGAAATGAACTGTTCACCAGTGTCCTAAAAAAGAAAAGCACCACATTAACATGATCTCAAGTACTTACATCATTGCTGGGAGGCAGGAGCTCCACTTGGTGGGTTGGAGAACTGTTGCTAAAAAAAATTATATAAAGTTGGAAGAGAAAAAAAACATTATTTTAAATTTTACATTGCAGTGGACATCCTCTTCCCCCTCCTCCATTTGACTCAACTGTCACAAGTTACATACTAACTTGGCTTTTTTCTCAGATTTTTTAAAAAGCTGTCCAAAATCTGGTCTAAGAAAAAAGAAATTTCTACTTGAGCCTTTTGTTAGTCAGCTGAGGTCCTACTCAACACTGAGAGAAAAAACTCATGTTACTGACCTCATTCAAGCTTTTCCATACAAGTCACTCACTAATGTGACACCATCTAAGGAAGGAAGTTGTGACCTACAAGGGTGTCCGAACTCAAAATTCATATGAGCTAGAAATCCAGTAACTAAATCCACTGTCTAATGATTTGTCACAAAAATTGAAAAAAAGACCAAATAATTCAACCCTGGTATTATCTTAAACATAGTAAATTGCAATTTAACAATTTATTACACAAAACTACATTTCTACTAAACCCTCCTAAAACATAGACAGGATTCAACACGTCAAGGATTTTCCCAGAGAGTTAACAATCTACCACTGGAAGAAAATGCTCAACATATCTCTCTACTAACACCAATTTTTGTCATTTCAGTGTTTGTCCTTATTCATATGTTGCTCATTGAAAATTTATGATACAACATTGATTAATTAATAAGCTGTGTGGGAAGGCGACATGGCTGCAGAGTCCTAAAGAAGGAGAAGAAAGGTCTACACCAAATTATTCCTAGGGGAAAGTATGGTGCAGGGAGGACTCAGAAGTACTGAGGGACCTTGCTGTATATTTCTGTCATCAGCTATCATCTTGGGTGTTTCAGGACCACTAAATCTGTTTCTTTATGACAGTTATATTAGTGAATTAAATATGCCTCCTGTTAGTCCTCTGTTCTGGAATGGCTTCTCAAAACCCAGGCTGTTTTGTCCCAGACTGGATTTCTTTACATCCCATTCAACTGGGAATTCAGCACCCCAAACTACCTGAAGACAGAAAGGAAGGAAGAAATACCAACTCTGAAGAGGTGCTGAAGGCTGAAAGTCTCTAGCACTCTTGTCAGAAGATACTGGGAATTACTGGTACAGGGCATGGTGTGTTCTCTGACCCACCCAGAAGAGTAAGAGGGAGAATTCATGGCAGGGGTTGCCCTGGTGGCCCTCCAATGCTCACCTCCCAGCCACCACATACACAGCAGACATACAAACAGTACTCTGCGTTACAGGGAACTCCTGGATGAAAAGTCTTAAAAAAGGCTTTGTGGGAAATATTTTCCCCTTTCTAGGAAGGGTGGTCCTTGACCTCTTCTTCCAGGATAAGAAATGCATGGACACACAAAACACATGCACATGAAGGCTACCATATCAACAGGAGAGAAAGCATTTATTTGTTACATACCCATCTCCAAGGTTGAAGCTGTTGGGAGAACTGTTGTAGCTTGGAGATGGAGCATTGTTCATCTGATAAGGCACATCAGGCCAGGGAGAGCACTGTTGGAAGAAAGGCAGCAGGGATACTTTCATAAGGATGGAAATAAAGGATTCGATTCTCCTCTCATACCACATTCATGCTGTTGCCACGCCACTAACTTCAGCTCATCACTCCTGCTGGGAGGAGGAGACGGGCCATGGATTTTCTACACTGCTCTCCAAGCAGGCTGTCAGGGGGCCAGATTGATTCCAGTTGTGCATTCCACATTTCTCCCATTTCACAAAGCCTGACCCCAAATAACACTGGGCCAAAGTGTGCACAGCTGTAAGTCAGAGCAACGCCAGTAAGTCAACTCAGACTGAAGGCAGCAATGATACAGAAACACCCCTGGTCTCAATTATAAATCCCTAATTAAATCCAGGCAAGAGTGACAAATACGCTCCAGTGGCATTGCTTCAGGTTTATACCAGTGAAAGAGCAGAATTTGAACCAGCCTGCTAAAACCTCTGGCTATTAGTCAAAGAGCTCAAGTTATAAATGGGTATGACATGGAGAAACTTTAAGATAGTCAGACAGACACAAAGGTTCTAAAAGCCTTCACAAATATAGGTCAAACTCCATATTCCATTACAGTAGTGTAAAAACAGAGTAACCCAACTAGAATTGGTGACTCTGTTCTGAATTTAAGCCACTGTAATCAGTAGGAGAAGTCTAGTCTTGTGGAACCACCCACCATCAAGAGCTCAAGAAAATGCTCTGTAGTATCCTTGTTTGCAATGATAAGAAGTTGACAAGTGTAGCTTTGGAGTTTTATCATCTCCACAAATACTAGCAAATATTTTATCACCTCCATGAGCACTAGCAAATATTTAACTCTGGCAGCCCACATTTTCCCATGCAATATGTCAAAGTGCATCAGAGCTCATGAGGAGAGCTTGGAATCTGCCAAGTCAGTAGAATTAGGTTTGTGTACAGAAGAGCCTCGTTAACAACCACCACGTTGAATTAGAAAACATGCTGGTCGCTCCTGGCAACACAAGGAAAATTGAGTGGAAGGGACTGGATCTCACAAACAGGAAGTTTATTTAAATTAAGAAAAAAACCTCATTTTTAGAAGTCCAGCAAGCCACTTCAAAAAAACAAGAACTAAATCAAACAGCAAGACATTCCCATAGGGAGATGGAACAGCACTTTTAAACTACTGTCTTGAGTCCTGTTGCTCAGTAATTCTGCAGCCTGGGGTAAGCTTATATATACATCTTAGTAATAGCAGGGAGGGGTAGAAACACATACATCTCCACACCAGATGCATGAGAATATAAAATATTCAAGATATTCCTAGAGTACAAGCCAGAATCTTCCAAGATCTTGTATGTAATAGTAGCTTCATAGGCACATTCACAGAAAAACAGATTAATAATTTAATCAGACAGCCTATTCATCTGTTCAAGTGCCCTATCTCCAACATGAGCATTTGCCAGATGGTTCTGAAGAAAATACCTCATACAATTGGCATCTAAATGCCACGACAAGTGCCCTGGAGCATGGCAGAAGATAGAGAAAATGTTTCCTTTAAAGCTAGGCTGTTAAGGGTTGGTTTACACCCTGAAACATAAGAAACTTTGGCATCTTTTATAAACTTCAACAGTGAGAGACATTTTAGAATTTCACTCTGCTCTCAATTTCAATCAGATCTGGGATACGTGTCTCCACAAGACAATCTCCAGGGCTCAGTTAGACTGAATTTTCTCTCAAATCTATCCCCCAACATGCTGAAGCAGTATGACGTGTCTAAAACGCTTTACCTCTGTGAGAATAGTTGTCTCATAAGAAGGCTGATACTTCTCCTTCTCTTGAGTAGTCTTCTTCTCCATTTTTTCCCTGTCAGTCTTCTGTTTTCTGTCTGCTCCTTTAGGCTATAAGCACAGGCACAAGCTTTTCCTTATACCAAGTATTACAAATTTGGAGACAGAGGCCAACAGGTGTTTTTCTAATCAGTTCACAAGTCTCCTTAAGATTTATGGGGACTTTACATATGGAACAAGATCAGATGTGCATTTTCTAGGCAAAAAAAAATTAGTCAAGCATCTCTACTGTTTCTGTAACATACCCCATTAATGCCTACCCCAATTCCAAAACAGGCTGACCACAGTCCTGAGATTTGCGCCATCAGTTCTGCGCCTCAGTTGGTATTTGTACCATCTCTCCAGGAACAGGAAAGACACTGCTCACAGGAGTAGCAGATCCTTTAAGAAAACAAGTCTATGAAAAGCTTGTTGTTAAGTGGCTACAGGTCTGCCACACCCACATTAGGAGCTTCAGAGATGCTTTCTATCTGAATCTTTCTCTCCTCCAGGTAGCATGGAGAGGAGCTCTGCTGCAACAAGCAAAGAGTGTTTAAGATCTCCAAGATATACTCTCACTGTTCATGGGGGACTGAATCAAAGAAACTGGAGATGCCACAATGTCTTGATTGCCTAGGAGCACCAAAACACAGCGGATACCCTAAATATCTCAGTTATTCTATAGTGTTCAAGGTACAATGGACTGGCATAAGTCTTGGTGCAGCACTTGGGTCATTTGAATTTAACTGGAATTGCTGCGTAGTTCAGTGTTTATGCCACTTTGTGTGCAAAAATCCCATTTAAGATCTTAAGCATACCCAGTTAAAAGTCTGTTCTTTTACTCCGCTATTTGCATCACTCCTACACAATTTAAAAACTGTGCACGTTCCTTAATCTACTTGATGACAAAGCCAAAACTACCTCATACCTTGAACACTTTGATCTGGCAGCTCGCAGAATGCAAGTGTTCTGTGTATTCACCATTTTCATTCTGCTTAAAGGTGTCGATTTGCACCCGGAAGGGCACCCCTTTCTCTCCTCCATGTTTCCGTGGAGTAAATTCTGTGCTGATGCAATGTACCTGGCAAAACAAAAGCTGTGCTCATCTCTGGAGACAGTTGGAAGCCGTGCAAATCTGAATTTCAGATTTTGCCCAAACATGAGGTTTTGGCTCCTCCCAAGAAACTAAGAGAGGCAGAAGAGTTCATATGTTTTCATTTCCATTCCTCAGGACAAAACAACTACAAGAACAAGCAGCCCAGAAAGAAACAGGGCATCAAGAAAAGCATCCTTTGACTTAAGTAAATCCCACATACAGATTAAAAACTGGCATAGCTGGCATCTGGGATACGAAACACTCATGAAGGAGGAAAGCAAGCAAAACTAACAGGTTGTGAACAGTTTCCTCTAGACAAAACCTATGCTTAGAAAGCAACTTTTTTTTTTTTTTTAAAGAAAATCCTAGCTGTAGCAGGTAGTACTTCAAAGCTAGCAAGTAGCTAGCAAGTTGGTTTAGCAAGTATCCTACAAATTAATTATACATGATTTTCACACGAGTTTCTATATTATCGTCAGCATCTTCCTCTCTCCTTCATGTCCTGGCTACCTTAACTCTCCAGGTCTCTATAAGGTATCTCACCATTGTATTTACCACAGGAATGTCACTTCTCTTTTACCTGAATGAATGCTGAGGCTCTCTTTGATGGATCCCACAGAAATTCAACAGTGTTCAACTGGGTTGGGCTGGCCCTGGGATCCAAGATACCAACAGACAGCGGAATATCTGTAGAAGAAAACCCCTAAAATTTTAAAAATATTAAATTGAAGAAGAGAAAGCATTTCCACACAATTACAAGATGCATGTGAAAAGCCAAGCCACCAATGCTATGTCTATTTAGGACCTATAGTGCTAGATCTCCTTCCCACCCAAAGACATACAGGATTCCTAAGAGAGCAGGATATAAAAAACCAAAACACACAATGCAAACACTCCATACATCATTCAGCATCTCACTTCCAAACACTGCGCAGGAACCATAATGTAATAGTCTCACCTATATCAAGGATGCGGTCCCCAGGCCGACTCCACCTCCAGCCCTCGAGCTGCTGATGCTCTGTGTACTGCAGGCGTCGATCATGGAAAACTACACGAATTATGCTCTGTTAAGAAAAGATAGCGAGATGAACAACGTGATCCAGAGGCCCTTCTCTTGAGATGAATTTGGTTTTCCAGCGTAGAAGCAAAAGCTGATCTGTTATGTTTCTCACCCCCATTCATGAGGAGGGTAGAGGGTCCACCTAAGAGACCCATCACCATGTTTATCAAATTCCTAAGGGACCCCTGAGTGAGAGAGCAACACACTTTCCCCTTCACAGGGCACGTCTACACTGCATAACGCAGCCCTGTACAGCTTTCTGGGATTCGGTCTGGAAGCACTATAGCAACGCTCACCTAATCTTAGGTGTCATGCCATGTAAACATCACTATACTGCCTCCACACCCAAAAATGGCTCACACGGGGGTAATAGTTAATGTGTCTGTACCATGCCCCAACCCCAGCATATCCCACTGATTAGCAAATGTGAAAGCCAGCTCACCTGTCCCTGCACCGGTGGAGCTGATGTGCCCAGACACCTTGTCAGTGGGAATTAAAACTTGATTCCAGCCATTAACAGCCAGTCATTGCATTTGCCTCAGTGTAGTTAAACAAGCGTAGAATAAGAAAGCTTCTGTAACAGGAGAATTTTCATCTCTGGTCTGCAATGGTGCAGCCGTGTCAATAACTGGAGAAAAAGGCTGGAATAAGGGCAATCCCCAGGGCAGACAAGTCCAAAGTACTCCTAACTAATATATCCTTTTGTATATTCAGAATGCTACAATTGCATGAGTTAACGACCCCTTACATCTCAGTTTCTCAAGTCCATGCTCCCGTTGTGGATGTCCGTATCAAATAAGTGAGCATTTTTTGCCAATGAACCTGAGAAACGCCCAAATCAAACCCTAGCTCCCAGAAGCAAGCAAGCCACAGTGGGAATGGCTGCAAAACTGGAACCTCAATCCACATGCTTCCTGAAATGGGCCAAAAGACAAATAGGGAACTGCCTAAACTTGGACAACATTTGAAATGGAGATTGGAATCCAAATTTTGCAACTAGTCTCCACTTCTCAAAAGAAATCCTGAGGCAGAACAGCCAAGAATTGGGGAGAGGAAGGCTTGAAGGTTGGATCCAGAACCAAGGTCCAGATCAAAGTTTTTGAATTTGAACTGTTTTGGGAGGGGGGAAGCAACAACAACAAAAAAATCCCCAAAACCAAACATTCAAGTTCTATATGTTCATAATTATGCCCATTACCAAAGTAAACTGGAGCTATGCAGAATCTGCATGGCAGAAGGATGTAAACACCAGGGTCCTCCATTTGACATGTAAGAACCCAGGCATGTTGCTGGGGTTAAGAAGGGAGACAAGTCTGCCTCTCAGTAGTTTTGACCATGTTCACCTCTGAACTTTGGGATTCCCCCGAACCCAATATTCACAGTGAAACTCTGGGGTCATGATCACAAACAGAATAAAGGTTCCCTTGAAGCCCTGTAAAGCCAAGCTGCATAGTCCCATGAAACTAGGACTCAACAACTCCATCAGCCCTGGACCCATTAAAAAGAATGGCAAAGTATTTTCTATTCTCTCAGTGTGAGCAAGGTCAGGCCTTTCATTAGAGGCTGTATGTAGTAGCAGGAAGAAAAGAAATCTATATTTCTCCTTACCTTTACATATTTTGTGTTTAAATCTTGAAACTCTCCCAATTTCCTATTCTCAAGTAGACGGATTTCATAAGACTGACCTAGAGTTTAAGGAAACATTTCCAAGGTGTTTAATATGTTGTAGCAATGAGAGAGTCATGCTGGCATTTACGTGGCTAATAAAGCATACGTTTGATCAGGGAAAGCTCGTTTTTGGTAACAAAATGCATTTGCCCCAGTAATCAAGTAGGCACTAAAGCACGGCAGAAATCTGAGGGGAACGTTTGTCCTTCGACAGCTAAAAGCTTTCAGTTAGGGTATCAATCATAGTCTGTCTCCTGGGGTTGCTGCAGTTTTCTGGTCACCCTTTAGAAAGTCACCAGGGTGTTTGAGGCAGTTGTCCCTCCATGTCACTGCCTTTGTCTGTCCCTTCTGCTGAAGCCATGGTTGTGTGAAGAGCTGCTGGCACAACGGGTCTAGGCACTATTCCGCACAGAATAGCAACTTTGGCAAAATGTCGCCTTCTTCAGAGAGCAGTCAGGCCTGTAAGGTGTTTCGGCGAACCAGAAATAGAAGATTCATTCCATAAGGCCTTGAATGTGGCTGCCCAGGGCATAAATACTCCTTCAGACATGCATGTAGAAGCAACAATGGGTATTACAGCATGTGCAAGGACCAGTTCTGGGAAGGGAATTCATACTCCAGCACCCCACCACCCTCAGCATCAGGAATTTAGCCAGTTCAGTAGAATTTAGCTAACTGGTTTATGAAATAACAACTCCCTCCAAGGCTGACAGTAGACAAAGGAGACTGATGTCTCAATACCTTATGCACAAAAGGCTAAGACAGCACAAAACCTCATTGTGTAGGACCAACTCTTTACAATAAACCTACAGCCAGTACAGAGGCAGGACAGGATCATTAGGATTAATGGAGCGTAAGTATACCTTACAGCTAGTTTTTCTTGTTCATCTTGCTATCCTCCCTTTTACTGAAAAATGTACAGGGTACGACAAGGCAGGCACCAAGAAGGAGATCGGTTTGGGTTTTCTGGCTCAACCAGTACCTCTGCAGAACCGGCCCTGCAGAAAGCTGCAAAGCAGATATATCTCCCTCTAAGCAGTTGCCACCAGCAGAGACAAAAAATGCTACTTTTCCGGATCTGGATCTAGAAAGAGAAGACTTATGACAGCAGATGTGTCAGAAGGGCACTGCATTTCAGGCAAATTCCCTTTTGGGAATCCCAGCTCTTCCAGTTGCCCGCGTGAGTACAGACCATGTCACTAGAGCACAGGGATAATTGTGCTTATTCAGCTGGCTGGCAGCGGGGGGCGGGGGGGAAAGGACAAAAGAGGCCATATTGAAGCCCCAAATGTTTGCACAACACTCCTACTGATGTCGATAGGAGTTCTGCAAACAGGAAATGACCCTTGAATCCAGCAAGTGGCTCAGGGCATGGGGAGAGGGGAGAATAAGCCGTATGAAGTACCTGATTAAGCACTGGAAACATGCATAGATCTTAACCCATCTCTTTATGCATAAGTAAACCAAAATTATAACAGTGACCTTCCTTTGAAGACTGCTGGACAACAAAAGTGGATTTTGTAAACCACAGTCCTGAAACTGAGGTCTTCCACACTTTAAGTCAAGAGACTTTCTAACGTTCCCACTGATACATGTTAATATTGTTCACTTGGCGATTTTGAGAGATGTACATATCTCCCCACAAAACCAATACTGTTGCATTAGCATAAAAAGATCATGCTCAGATTCACAAAAATGGTTTTCTCTAATAGAATCATTTAGGTTGGAAAAGACCCTTAAGATCATCGAGTCCAACCATTAACCTAGCAATACCAAGTCCACCACTAAACCATGTCCCTAAGCGCCACATCTGTCGTACTGTGTACCTGTATGTATGTTGTACATGTGTATCTATGTTGTATAAAGTACTTGGCTGCTCAATGGCTCAGTTTGGGGGTAGATTTCACCGGCTATATTTACACAGCCAAGCATCTCTTGCACTTACAGTTCATTCCCATGCAAATATGAGACTAATTAATCATTACAAAAAACTAATTTAGGATTTGAGACCATGAGAGTCCCAGAGACAGTAAAATACATCTATGACTGTACTCAGATGGGGTAACAAGGACAGAGAAATTAAGCGTCATGAGCTGTGTTACAGAGGAAGGCAATGGCAGAACCAGAAGCATTGCCAGCCATTCAGCGAGTATCCAGGGATGAGCAGGTTTTTGGGACAGCTTTGTGCACTGATACACTCCTACTCTTTGGTCATCCTGATTACTTGTGGTTCCAATGAGACAAAATAAAATAATGGACATAAAAACATCAGCCATGTGCCTTTCAAACTAGCATCAAGCACTGAAAAAACTGTGCAGCATGCACCTTCCAACCACTTGCACGGGACAGGAACAAAACCGCAACCTGGCAGACAGCGGGCACCGCACATCATCTCCTGATGGGAGTGACTCAGCTTGGATGGAGTTAGAAACAGATTCTGCCCACTGGTAAAAAAGAAACTGTAGTGGAGACAGAGTTAATATTAAATGGAAAGCCAAAGAGGAAATAAAATGCTTTGATGAAAGATATATGGGTCATCTGATGTAAGCCCTGGAACTCTGTTTACGCCATGAAAAACCTCAATCAAAATGGTATTTTATGCTAACTGCTTTCCCCTTGACCTCTAAATGTTTATCTCCAGTTACTACACAGAACTGTTATGAAAACAAGGTGGCTCCCAGCCAAGCTTCAGAAAACATGCAGTTTATTTCTCTCTCTGTGTAACTCTGTCAGTGAGAATTTGGTCCTAATTCCTCACAATTCTATTATATATAAATGTTTTGGTGTTGATTTTGAAAATTTCATTCTTGCTACAACTTATTCGAGCAAATTCATTGCTTTGTGGCTAATGGTACCCATAATTCATTGGTATAGCATGGACAGCATTCAGATACTTGTACTTCTGTAGGACCAAAGTGCTTGGATTATATTTTTTTCCTAGAAAAATACCTTCCAAACCTTGTTTACCCTATGCGTTCTACCATCACGACCAGCAAAACTCCTGAAATGGTGAATTACAATCTGAGCCCTGCGATCAAAACAATTGCAGGGGGGAAAAAACCCTAAAGAATCAGTACTCGGATGTTGGAAAACAAGATCCCTTTGTAAAATAAAGCGAATAATAGTGACCTAACCCGAAGAAAGCTGAACTCCCCTTGGCATCAAAGAGGGCAAGGAAGTCGCTCATGGCTCTGGTATCACAGATCATCTACGAATCCTGCACAACTGACTCAGCAGCACTAGCAGGCACAGACTGACAGTTTTCTGCTAAAACAGATCTAAACAGATCGTTCTTACTCAGGTATCTAAATCTGCAAAGAAACGCGGCTGCAAGCGTGACTAAAACAAACTTCCTTCCCAGCTCCCAGGACAGACTGCAACCAGCTAAGCCCAAAACATACAGCTGAAAGAGCGAGTTCCCCTATGCTGAGTTTCTCCACCTGGCTGAGATGGAAATACAGGTTAACACAGGTTAGACTACGTCTTTCCAACTCAAAGCTTGGTGGTAAAGCTGGAGATGGGGGGCAGAGGCTATGAGTGCCGAGACTCTGCCATGATTTGGTTGAATGGTCTGACCTTGACCAGGGCGGTATCTAGTCCTCAGCTGACAAGGGTCTAACACCCACCGGGCTTGGACGGAAGGAAGAGGCTGCAGAAAACATCTGTGGCAATGGAGAGCAGCAGTGGCGGTTTTAGAGCAGTCTCCCTTTACCAGGATGATAGTCAACGTTGCTGAACGTCAGCCTTCAACCCAGTGCTAAAGGCCAGCAACTTGCTGAAACCCTTTTCCTTCCGCACTCCCGACTTGGGCCGCAGCTGCACCACCACAGGCCACGCGGCTCCAAGGCAGCTTCAAAGTTGGTGACCAGCCTGGTCTCTGGTCGCGTTGTAACGTCGGGCACGTGCACACGAGGGCACCTAAAGCACCTCTGTCACTACCTGAAATGAAGGGGACGTCCTGCAAGCAAAGCCCCGCGCAGCGGGGGCCAAAGCAGCCCCGCGCCCGCCTG